CTGTGACTAATGCAAAAGAAAGAGAACAGTGTGCTCAATATCCATTAATTATATTGGTGCATTATTAGGTATTTGGTACAATCCGATTAAAATATTAAATGAAGACAATTTACAGTACTTACTCTCTTGGATTCGTAATTTTAATCATCAGACTCTTTGTTCGTAATGATTTGGGATATTTCTCCCACGTCTAGTTGTAATTAGCGTGAAGTTCGTGCAAACGACAGATCAGTTCTCGCTTTCATGTCAAAAATCTCCTACACATTGCCAGATATGAAGTACGATCTAAATAAATTTGGATATTTTGTTATAAAAATTTGTTAGTTAAGAGAACAATTGTAGGAGATAAAATAATTCGATATGTTAAAATTATAAAATACCTGAAAAAGTATGTTTATTTATCTTCCGTGATACCGGTATTCATTATTCAACGCCCAAAACTTAGTAATACATATCTGATACCTTAATCTTATAATAAACTTATTCGGAACTTTTCATTCCCAAACAATTTTCGTGTTAAGGTCACATACTAAATTCTTTTTTTTTTATATATTGAAATGCAATAAACTATCCACATACAAGAAGTTTAGCTTCGATTGTTCATTCTTCGAAACAATTATCGTCATCATAAACTTAACCTTCTTGGTGAAACCCACAATGATGTTACAGATCTCAATATCAAACTATGCATTCCTTGATCTTACATAATTCTCTCAATGTTAAATAATACCTTTTAATAAGAGAGGTCCGTCGTTCACAAGCAGAATTATAAAATAAATGATGATAAACATTAATATTGGATTTCCCCATAATCTGATCAAAATAAATTCTTTTTTAGAAATTTTATTAAAAAATTGAATATTCAAGAGTAAACAAAAGATTTTTCGAAAAGGCATTAAAAAAATAGGAAGAATAAGAGGTTGTAGGCGAGAAAATCAAGTAGATCAAGTACTCCAATAATTACAGAAACTTAATCCACTTTCTCAGAGATGAAGATCAATCTATGGAAGAAATAAAAGGACAATTATTTTTAACTAGAAGATTTCAAGGCCCATTACGGAAGCTTTTAGTTGTGAGATTTATCTTAGCGATGATGCCGATCAAATATTTCTGAACATCTGAATGAAACTAGAAAATAACTCGAGTCATTGTCTTCACCTAAATAATATTATTGAAATTAGTTAAATTCTAATGCCGGCAACTAGCTCAGTCAGATTCATCAACTCACTTATATACTGTAATAATCCCATTAAGGTAATATAAACAAAATAAATTAAATTACCCATTTACTAATAATTTGTGAATATACAAATACTTTATTTTCACAAGATAAAGAAAACAATATTCATAATGTTCAATAACATGAAATATTCGTAATAAAATAAAAACTAAAATTCATAATGTTCCTTTAACAATGATAATCAAAATTATACTGCGACACAAATAAAAAAAAAAGAAAAAAATTTCTAATAAAATTCATAACTACATGATACTAAGTATTTTTCTTTATAATCTGAAATACTTCATAATCATCAATAGAAAATAATTTTTCCGTATTTCTTATTTTTTCCTTGTACCTCTGTTGTTTACACCAATTAAAATTATAATCTCTCGAACTATCATTTTCTTCCACGCCTATAAAAATATCAGTATCAAATGTGGGACCACATTCAACATGATGAGATAAAGCTTTATCGGGATCTTTCACACGACTTAAAATCGCACTATCAACAAAATGATCTTTACTTTTAAAGGAAAATATAAAACTATCTGTTGCTTTACCATATTCACCAGATGATTCTTTCCATATTGAAGGATTATATCCTCCAATAATTTCATCCGTATCTTTTATTTTAATAAACGTAACGGTATTAGGTTTGTCATCACACAACTCGTGAAACTTTTTGGGTGTAAATCCATCTCTACTTCCCCTTAATAATAATCTGAATTCATATGGTAAATAGAACTCTCTCTTATTTTTAACAGTATTATTATCAATCCAAGATGAAACTAAAGAAACAATATTTATGCCAATCAATTTTGAACCAAGGTCATCGGATCTAGGATATAAAATATTATTTGGTGTTTCAATTTCAGGATCCAAATGATATTCTAATATATCTTCATAAAGATTATCTTTCAAAAGCTTTCTATAAGGTCGAACTTGTCTTAAAAAATCTTTAGAAGATAAACCAAAAAATCTAACAAAGGGGAAACAATTTTGTAAAGTAGCTTTCATTGTATTGAGATCATCTTCTGACCAATTTGAAGGATCTGAATTAATCGTAGGATTCCGTGCAAGACCCCATTTTAATACATAATCCCAAATTTTAACTTCATCCATTTTTAAATCGTCACGTTTAATAAGTGTGATTAAAGATTTTTCGGGAAGTGAATTTAAACTAAGCGATTTAAATATTTTTTCTGGAGATTTAGCCATATAATCAGTACAAAATTGTTGAAGTTCTGCTAAAGAATTAGATAGAAGACTCGTTTGATAAGTAAGTTCAAATTGTTGTTCCATCACTTCAGCTTTATTTTCAATTAAATATTTTTGTAAAAAATCGAGCAATTCTTGTAGATGAAATTTTGCGGCGGCAACCAATACATCTAAAATTACCGTAAGGTCTTGATCATCTAATGAAATGATACCTCCATAAATATATCTATATTATTAAAAAAAAATTTTTTTTTATATTCAATAAATGTTTAAATATAATTAACAATTAGGTAATAAAATTGATGATATAAACTTACGTCAAAATACTGTGAAAAATATCTGGTGAAATATCCGGAAACGTAAGATGAGCTAATTCATTATTCTTTTTATTGGAGGTCAAAGTTCGTAAATATGGAGAACGGTAGCACAGAATAATCATATGCCCACGAAAAACTTTCACATCTGGATCTTTACCAACTTCAATTGTAATATCATAATATTCATCATCATCCAGAATTTCAATATAATTTTTACTTAATTTTGGAAAAAATTGGGTTGTCATTTCTTTCCTTAACTTTTTTTTTACGTATTATTATTTTTTTTTTTTTGAANTAGAAGTAGAATTTTCGTCAACATATTCACAGAAGTCCATTATTAAAATGTGTAATGAAAGAAAAGGAAGTGGGTTGACGAAAAAAAAAAAAAAAAAAAAATTAAAATGGGGAAAGAAAAAAAAATTCAATAATGTTGTCGATCAAACTTATTTAAGATATATATATTTTTAAAAAGGAATAAAAAAAGGTTATTTTTGGAAATTCCATGGAATTAGAATGTCAATCATGCAGATTATAAAATCTATGGCTTTTTTTTACGAATTATTTTAACACAAAATTGTATATTACTGTATGTAAAACAAAAAAGTATTTTTGATAAAAAAACTCAATTATGATTACCGATCAGCCACCCGCCTCATAAATATTTAACTCTGATTGGTCAATCTCCAAAACGTCTCGTTGGGGCTGTTGAGGCTGATTCTAAAATTATTTATAGATAATCGATTATTTAATTCATATTACTATAAACTAGTTTCAAGGACTTCCTAGAAAAGTTTAGATTCTGTTCTCAATGGCAAAGCCATTTCCTTTTCATTTTGTAATTGCAGATTTTTTTGTAGACACGACTTAAAAAATATTCTACAGTTATTTATTAGTTAAGAGAAATATGACAATTATTCCCCTGCATTACAATATACATGCGATTTATCATGTAACCTAATAATGCGGACAAACATTAACCGTTAATTCACAAGCTGAATATAAAATCTGATTCCTGTTTATTGGGCACCTCGGCCATATCTGATAGTCAGCCATATGTGTAAATATTTTCCAAATTTTTTTGTAATACATTCGGTGTTTCATATCGGTATCCAAAGAAACCCTAAAAAAGGAAAAACGATATCATAGTGGGTGGACAAGATTCCATGAATAGGTAAATTACGATTATGTCTAAGACTATTTTGGTAACTGTTCTTCTAAGTTCGCATACAACTTTTGTGGAACTAACTATTTCTTCGAAATTAGGTAATACGATATACTTATCACTAAAATCCCGTAGGGATTCGCTCCACGAATCTGTTGCCTTCAAAAGTAGATTGTCTTGCTGTGTGACTATTCATAATCGTCATAATTTGGAATGATAATTTCCCGTATACATCTTCTCAAATATTAGTCTAGTAGTTTTTTTCAGACAAAAAAAAATTTATAACGTAATTAAACAAAGAAAAATCCTTAGTATGAAATCAAGCTGCGCAACGTGTTCCATTTGGAACTGATTTCTTCTCGTATGTGATGCTTCTTGTCATAGACGTTTTGACTGGTCACTCAAAGATGGGGGTTACCACATCGGACTTGAGGAACTCAAGGCAGTATAATTGGCCGAGGTAGATGGGTATATCTCGCCTAGTTATTACTGTAAGAATCGGCCAATTTCAAGAACATCTAAATTACGGGACTAGTAGGTAAGTTTAGTTATACATTTAGTTGATCGTTTTAGTTATACATTTTTAGTTGAACATTTTCGTTGTACGCAGGGGGAAGTCGACATGAATGGACAGCGCCTCTTGCTAGTATAAGAAACAAAAGTCGGTGATTTTCACAAATCACAATGTTCTAGCAATCTTCCTTGTGGTCTTAAAGAAGCTAGGGAAATTGCCCACAGTATACTAGTTATTCCAATTCATCTTCGAGAGTTGAATATTCGGTTAGCCGAACAAATTATTAGTCTAAACATAATATACAAGTACCCAAAATCTGTGACAGGTTGGTCATGTTTTTCAATTGTAAGGCTACACGTGCTAGTACATATCGAAATTTATTTATACATCTGCACGTGACCAACCAGTATAATGAGTAAGAGGAGTGAGTAATTAGTAATTTTTTTGCTTAAAGAATCTACACATGTCACTAAAATCCTCAACTTTTTCTTCAAAACTTTCTATTTTTTGTACCTTACAAAAAGAGTACCAAAAAAAAGATATTAAAAAAACAAATTTGATATAACAATGTTCAGGCATTTTGTGAGAAGAAGTTTGCCTCCTATTAAAAGATATTCTACTAACGCAAATGAAAAAGCTCATGAAGGTATTATTGGTGTTAATAAATTTTATTAAGGAATATAAAAATAACGTAAATTATATTAAATAGCAATTTCTAAAGATGTAAAAATGCAAGATGTCTTCAAATACGGGGGTGCTGGAGCTGGTGGATTTTTCTCTGTTTGGGAAATGGTCCATATTTCCATCACTTCCACGATCAAGCCAATTGAAAAGGTAAATGAAAAAAGGTTTAATGATCATTACTAGATAAACATAAAATTACTGATTTAAACATTTCATGTCTAGAAACTAGGAAAACTGGACACGCTCTCTGATGATGTATCCTTTATTAAAGGATACCTCAGTATCGAAAGAAAAACTGAGAATCAGAAAACTGAGGGCCAGGCAATTAAGGATTAATCTTGTTTATGAATGACATAACAACTGGAAATTTAGCAGAATCAGATTGATAATCTATACGCAGTATTATTGGCTTAGTAAGAAATTCTTTTAATATACTTATTCTATTAGCTTATTATCATAAATCATAATAAAGTTTTATTTGCGAACTTTTTATACTTTATGTGATATTTCCCGTTTTATCTGTTTTATGTTTTTTTGTACAAGTAAAGAAGGAACTGGATGCCTAAGTAAAAATGAATGTAATCAAAGATTAGAGTAGTAGGTTTCAAGGGAGGAATAAAGCATAAAATATGCCTGCCCCTAAACGTCATTACATATTAAAAGTAGTGGCAGTTCCTTTCCACTACTCCGCATTACTATCTAAGTTTTCATTGTTTTTACTATCTATTCATAAGCAAATATCATCTAATGTGCAAATGTAACCATCTTTCTTCATGATATTTCTCTCGTAAAACCCTTGAATCGTATTCTTTTTGATTTTCCCTTCAAACACACGAATTTTTATAGTTATGTGAAGGTAAATCTCCTTCGAATTAAATCCTTTTCCTTTGAATGTTATTAGACCCGATCTGGTACTCTACTAAAATAACTAGTCCAGAGCAGTGATCATCAGTTCAGAAATTGTGTGACAAAAATTAATGGATCATCAGACAGGTCTGTACGACATTAATTTTCAAAAAGAAAAAATACATGCTAACCAGTACATCTATTTTTTTCCTGAACAAACATGAGAAAAATGTGAAAGAAAGTCTACATGCGACACAGGACTTACCCTATAAGTAAATAGTGTCAACGAAAGCATATGTTATTAAAGGCTGAGTGACTCACAATTTTGAGATAGCTGGACATAAGACTAACTATGTGTTTTTTCGATAAATTTACATGTGAAAAGGTATGGAGATTCCATTTGCATGTGTTTTCATAGAGGCCTTGGCATCATACGACAATGCTAATCATGCCTCATATCTCCTTAACTTTTTTCCAGCAAGATATAAAGCATGTAGGAATATGTGGAAGTTCAGCCAACTTTTCCGCAAAAATTTTAAGATGCATAATAAGATATTATTTTTTTATATTACTTGTATATTTTTTATATATTACTTGCCTCTAGGTTTATTTGACAAAAATAGTTGATGCTTATGCAAATATAATCAGATTCTACGGAGTTACTAAATTAGAATACTAAATTAGAAGGTAACCTGACAATTTTCTGATAAACCTATAATATTTTTGTTGACGTGTTAATTTTCTTTAGATGAAAAAAGGTATTTGCTTATTTTTGAATATGCAGAAGGTGGAACACTGAGAAATTATTTAAGAAACAATGTCATTGAATAGAGCACTCAATTAAGGTTTGCAAGAGAGATTACAAGTGCGATTTTATAGTTGCACGATTATAAGGGTATAGTACATGGGGATCTTGTAAGTATATTCATAATGTTTAAACATCTACCTAATAAACTAGTTCGCTACATTGTGTAACTAATACCTTCTTTTTTTAGCATTCCAATAATATCTTAATACATAAAGTCACGATTAAATTAACAGATTTCAGCTGTTCATTTGAAAAAGGAAAGTGTTGTGATAATACTGAAGTATGGGGGTAATATCTTATGTAGATCCTAAAGCATTTAACTGAAAAACTCCATATAAGATGAACGAGAAATCTGATATTTATAGCCTTGCAGTAACATTCTGGGAATTAACAAGTTGCTCATCGCCTTTTAATTATGAAATGATAAAAGATCACACTTCTCTTATGTTAGATATTCTTAATGTACTAAGAGAAAACCCTATTCCAAACACGAATATTAAATTTATCGAACTTTATCAAAGTAAGCATAGAGAAATGAATCCTTTGGTATTAATACAATTTTTATTCTTCTTGTTGCAATCTAATTTCAATCTATTTAAATAGAATGTTGGAAATACGAAACAGATGATAGGCCGAATAGCATAGCAGACATCCTTATATCACCTTGCTGATCATTTATCGATCACATAATCCAAATTTTAAAACTTCTTGCAAAAATGCAGATTTTTATTAAAAAATAGCATGACAAAATACAATGAAATTCAAGCTAAACATAATATTTATTGTAAATTAATTATTGGTATAATTTTTTTATTTTGTTACAATACAATATTTATATGTGATAATTTAAGATCATCAGACAAAAATTGGTTGGTGAAGATGAATATGCATCGGCGAAACTTAAAATTTTGCATAAATATTCCTTATATCATATACAAACTGTGGCTAAAATAAAGCTCCGAATGGTTCGGTTCGGTTCCATTTTTTGGTTCTTTTCTGATTGATCAGAATCTGTTTTGTGCAATAACTCGCCATCCAGTAATTATAGAAACCTGATCTATAGCTCGTTGAAATCGTCTCATCGAGACGGTTCGAATGGTACCAAAATCATCGTTCTAGAATCGATAGATGGCGAGTTAATTTTGCCAATTTTTCAAAAATAACTTGCCATCATCTATCAATGCTAGAAAGATGATTTTGGTACCATTCAAACCGTTTCGACAAGACGATTCCAACAAGCTATAGATTGGATTTCTAGGATCACTGGATGGAGAGTTATTGTGCAAAACGGATTCTGACCAATCAGAAAAGAACTGAAAAATGGAACTGAACCGAACCGTTCAGAGCTTTAGGCTAAAATAAGACAGTAATCAGACCTATAAGACAGGGTTTGTATTAATAGAGTTTTCAATGAAATAATGTTACGAAATTTAATAAATAAAATGCTATGAACCTTCATAAACAAATGCTTTTATAAATTTTAATATACAGCAAATCAAAACTATAATTAAGTTGTTTATAAAGTTTGAGCATATATTATTATGTAGAATCTTTCAATAATTATAAATAATGACATTTATATTATATGATATAATCTTAATAAATGATCATCAAATGATCGTCAAAATTGTGATAAAATAGAGATGTCTGCTATGCTAGGCCGAATATTCAGCAAGTAATTGCAGAACTTGATCTTATTGACCCTGAAAATAATGAAGGATCAACTAGTTTTTTTAAGAAAAGTGAAACAGTTAATGATTTGTATTTACCATCTGATGAAATTGATGAAGAAACACCATGTGAGTGTTTGTTTTATTTAAACTCGAAATATTTAACTCATGCGTGTTCTAATGCAATTATATTACGTCAAATAGATGTGGTGGAACAGCTTGGCGACCGTAAAGTTCTTCCAATTGAAGATATTAAAATTCTTAGTGAGCTTGAATATGTATCTGATTTCTTCTGAGATAAATATAAAGAGACTCCATTATCTTGCGTAAGTTCAGGAATGGTTGACGAGAAGGCGGTACTTGTTGCTTTAGTATGTCTACCCAAAGGCACGCAAGTTAATTTACCTGGTGAGTTTGAAGGATATCGTGTGCTAATAGACTATGGGAAATTGAACCGGCTCATCGTAAACGTCATGATGAGCTTAAGCCTGGTATAAGTATTGGTAATGTTATTGATCCTAATAGTGACCAAACATTTATGTTAGGACCAGTGTTTAAAACAGAACAAGATGAAAACAAAAGATATATACTTACAGTAGAACATGGAGTTAGAAATAGTAACCTCGTAATTCAACCAGAGAGTTCTGACCAAGTATGCACCCATTAAAGTTTTGACTTAATTTTGTCCGCTTGTTGACTCCTTTTAATGATCAGGTATGACACCTAGGGATAATTGTGCTGAAGTTATGTATACTTTTTATGGTGTTGACGAAGAAGGACGTTTTCTTGACTATGCTTTTTGCGAGATCAACAAACGAGAAATATCAATACCTAGTAACATTCCATTTGGAACTGAAGTTATTATTAAAGAACATAAACAATCCGTTGAAAACGATCCAAATAATCAGAAGAAAAAGCTCGACTTTATTAAGGTTGAGAAGGTTGGTAGGACAACATTCCATACACATGGGTATGTGTTAGATAAATGGAAATATTTTAGGCCTAAGAGTCTCTCTAGAGAAGCCTCTGCTCTATTCGTCTATGGAAATAGTGGAAATTTTGGTAAGTCCTGATTTCGTTAATAATGTCTGAGGACAAGTATTAATGGCATATGATATCATCAACAGGTACTTATGGAGATTCGGGTTCACCTGTTTTTGATAACATTGGTAGACTGTGGGGTATTTTTCAGGGAGTTTACCGAAATAGCAATCAAGCTTTTGTAATTCCCATTCATGTAATTTTAGATCATGCCGAAGCTAGAACTGGAAAGAGGTTTATACTAGTGTAAATTACAGTCTTTACTTTATATAATCAACGAACTGTTTGTTCCGAGATTGTCCTTATAACGAAAAAATAATAAATGTTTATTATACCTTTCAAAGAGTAATGGTACGTGGCAATGTTTTATTTTTTCTGACTATTATTACATTGGAAAGCAAAATTATGTTATCGGTGAAACTAGCTAATGCTACTGGATAACATAAACCAAAATATGAGCGTGACCCAATCTTTCCCCAATATTTTGTTAGTATATGTTTGAAAAGTTCTCGAACAAAAAAAATTACCTTCTTGGATTACGGATAGATTTTATGATTAACAATACTTGTAATGAACTTTAATGTTTCTGCCTATTATATCGCAAGAAAATGAACTTGGTTACTAGTATTGTGGAATTTTTTGTTATTACGTTAATCTAAAAATACTCACTTTATATGTACAGTGGTATTAAATTAATGGACATGAAAAATGTCTATTTTTAACATTTTCTTTCGAGAGTAATGATACCGTAATTGATATTTGGGCGTAGCTCAATCTCTGGCTGAATAAAAGTATCGGCTACTACTTACTAGGATCTTATCGTCAAACGATTAATAACATGCTACCCGGAAGGTACGAAGTAGAGAGCAGTCTATGAGAATCAGACACGTAATGCTTGCTTTAATTATTTCTACATAAAAATGTCTTGCATGATTACGAGCTTCCGATAGATTATTTCATGTTCTTTAAAGTTATATATCGTCGCCAAGGAATTGTATTCAACGTGTAGTAGTTGTATTATACTTCTAACCTATTAGTTTCCGTGCGAGAATTGGTTGAAGTTATATTGATGGTTATATAATGGTTATTGTTGGAATAATTGCCTACTAATCTTGGTTTCATGTAAAACGAATCTACAACAAATGATAGTTACCTCGTATTTGTTTAAAAGTAGCTTCTAGGCTTCGACTACGTGGAAGTAATAGTGATAATAGCTTATTCTATGGAGCATAGCGAACATCTCTATTTTATCACAAATTTGCCGATCATTTGCTGATCATTTATTTGATCTTATCACATAATACATATGTCGTGACAGATCAATTTTACACAATAATAAATATAATAAGTGTTTAAAATTTACAAATAACTTCACAGAATTTTAATTTTATTAAAAATTTATATAAAACATAAAAATTAATACAAATACTAATAATTATATTAATAATTTAACCCATGTTTAGTATAATATTTCAAACAGATTATCTATATTACTTACTATTATTTCTAAATTATTTTCAATATTCTCATCATTATTATCTTCACTTAAACTATTATCATCTTCATCTTCAACTAAAAGTTTTTCATTATCTTTAATGATGTAAATAATCTTTTTTATTAGAAATATATTAATAACAAATAATTGGCTAATTTCTCTATAAGCAAAAAACCTGCATTATGGGTAGAAACCTTGCATTATTTTTTTTACAGATTATATATAATAAAAGGAATGTTCATGCAAAATTTCAAGTTTCGGCTTTGCGTATTCGGCTTAGGCCTTCAATTTTTATCCCGAAACTTCAAATTATCACATATTAATAATTTTGCATATAAAAATTAAAAATTATATAAATTATTTAATTTAAAGTTATACAACAATAAAAGGTGGCATATTTTATTTTTTTCCTATTTAGGCATTTACTTTGCCTTGCACTTTTTCATAATTTAATCATTTTTTAATAAAATGAAACTTGTGATCGGCAAATGATCGTCAAAGTGATATAAAGCATGTTCGCTATGCTATTCTATGGTACTACTCTTTGTTACACAGATTACGCATTGATTATTGACATAAAAAAAAATAATAATAATATTAGGAGCACTTATTGTCGTACGATTAAATCAAAAAATGCGGCCCTACGTGTCAGTTACTGGACTATTATTTGGTTAATATAAAATATTACCGCTTTGTATTTTGAAATATTTTATAATCTTCTATTAATAAATTACAATATCTATCATTTTATAATATCATTTCTGATACCAATAATTATCGTACAGGGTTAGTTACATTTCTTTTGCAAGACTTTAAAATGAGGATAATTTTATTAAAAACAATTTTAAGAAAATATGAAACTATTAGTAGATACATCAAATTCATTATAGATTCCCCAATAATTTAATAACATTTTTCCACTTTAATAAAGGTGAAATTTTGGTTTTCGTAATCATAATTCGTAAATGTCTCCTTAAAATCAATAAAATTTCTTTTCAGGTCAAATCATCTTAATAATAATTCGATTTCTTATACTCTATATGCAAATTTTATTTTTAATAATAGATCAATTTTGAAATAATAGAAACAATTTGAAATTAACAATTTTTAAATCATTAATTTCATTAACTTTCTACATCTACTTTCTATATGCACCCTTTGGATACATATATGATTTTTCAAATAATGCATTTAGAGATAGAAGGATGCATTTAAAGAGAATAAAATGATTGGGATCATATAAACTTGGTTCATTTATAGATTAGAAGATGCATTTATGGGGAATTTAACTGTATTTCTAGAAATCAACTATTAGTATCCAATAAGAATCCAACAATTCTTAAAGTTGAGTTTTAAAGTTATACAAGACGAACTTTTCATAGAAAATCATATTTTTTATAAAATAATTATCTCGTCAACAAGTCTAAGATTCTTTAAAGCTACTGACATTCAATACTTTAAATTGTCTCGTTTATTAAATGAATCTAAATATTATTAAAGTGATGCGTATTTTATGTATGTATGTACAGTACATAGTACGTATTGTGTATATATGTAAACCAAATAATTAGATGGAGGAATATTGAACTTATTCCTAATATAAAAATTCAGAACTTTTGCGGTAAATTGCTTGAACAAATGTTCCCTACGTATATACAGTATACGTAATGTGGAAAGACGATCGAGCAATAAACACAGGTTTCTCTACTCAACTTTATTAAAAATTTGTTTAAGTATGGCTTTAACTTTTTAAAGTTTTTAACGTGGAGTTGTCGTACCTACGGGTTTAAAATGAGATGTGGAGTTGGTTGTACCTTACCTATTACCATACTTATCAAGAAAAAAAAAAATAAAAGAAAAAGAAAAGCGAGAATGAATAAAAAAGGAGAGAGGAGTTAAAGAGAATAAAGAACAAAAAGTGGCATGTATTACTTACTTAACCATGTTATAAACATGTGAACTCTGATAATCGTAAACATGTGTTTGCAATAATTTCGCACGCCTTGTATATGACGTCAAATTTAATATACTATTTCAGTATTCATAAAACCTTAAATAATGGCTAATTTTAGTTCAGTAGAAACATTAGATATGGAGATAATATCAAAAAATCCGAGTTATGTTGAGTTATGATTTGATCTAATTTCCCAAATTCCATATTGTTCTTTATTATAACGAAGTATTGCCCGGAAGAACCTTTAGCTGTGATAACTCAATTATTCGATTTGTTCTCTAACTGACTAATGATGAACAAGCTAACTTTTATATATTCCGCGAATTTTTACACAAAGTTTTCTACATGCTTCTATGCCTCTATAAAATTTACTTGATTATCATATCTAATCTGTTTAGTTTGACGCAGTATAAATTGTGACTTACTTTTTTCAAAGGTTATCTTTTTTGATTAAAGCACAGCATTTTAGACTTTTTGATCCGTAAATAAATAAGCTAGGCAATTTTTATTGACAAAGTTTACACAGCCGATGTCTTCGCCCAATTTTTTCCCTTATTATAAATACATGTGCATTTATTTTACCAACATCACTAAGAAGGATTTAATTTTTTTTACCACATTAATTTTTTATGATTACTAGTCTCTTCAATATTATATTTGTATCACTCCTATTTAAAAGATGATAAACGCAATCTTTTTTTACCAGACTTCATTTATAATTAATTTATTACATATTATTAGAAAAAACTAGAAAAGCATTGTTTATTTTTTAAATATGCTAAATTACAACTCATGAAAAATACATATTATTTTGAATACCTATTATCCTAAAATCACTTTTTTATTTCTATCCAAAACATTCATTTCATTATTATAACATCAATTAATTGTGATATAAACTTTACAATTCTTTTTTATGAAATCATAAATACTTTTCAAGACAAGAAAAATGAAAAACTTGCTTGAGTTGAAAGATATAATTAATAATTAATAGTGACAAATTTAATCAAAGAAACTATATCGGGATTACTAATTTTTACTTATAATTATTATGACAGAATTAAACTCTCACATACAGATAATATAAATCAGAACAATCTAAATACTCTTATACTTCTAGAGGTTTAGATAATATACAGTATACTGTATATCTCCTAATAAAGTGGAAACAATCTAAATATTCTCATACTTCTAGAGGTTTAGATAATATACAGTATACTGTATATCTCCTGATAAAGTGGAACCAATCTAAATACTCTTATACTTCTAGAGGTTTAGATAATATGCAGTGTATATTTCTTGATAAAGTGGAAACAGTTCAAATATTTTTATACTTCTAGAGGTTTATTCATATTTTATTTTTAAATTTTAAACCATATAATTTAAATATTTTTATTCTTTTTATAGACGAAATGTAATCTAATCATCTCTTACTATAGATCTTTGGATAGTTAAAAATGATAAAAATTGTATATAAAATTTTTATGAAAAAAAATACTTTGTTTCATGAGCAAGAAACTTGCATGGGAATATACTCTGAAGATAGAATTTTAGAAGATGTATTCGCGGATTGGTGGTCTCAGAATGGGAATAAAACTCAGAAAAAATATCCAAGTTGTCAAAGAAAAATTGGTTATTTAGGAGTTACTTGTTCATATATTGGTCAAAACATTCAAATTGAATGAAGTAACACTTGCAGTACAATATGTTCGTTATCCTCATACTGCAGATCATATTCGAATATCATCAATTATTGTTTAAATTTAAGAATGTTTAAATACCAACAAAAGGGGGGGACACAAACTACCATCCACATTATTTGCCTTTCACACCATATTTTAATACTTTCAAAGATATTGATAACTGATAAATATGGTTTAACATATTCATCATTATTAAATATTACAAAAAAGTTTTAATGTTTAGAATCGTATTATATGCCAGAATACGACCCGATACGAATCTTTTCATTTGATATATGGAAGAGAAGAGATCATACCCATAGAATTGTGCATTTGAACCAACTATAAGTATTAACCAAGCCGAGGATTTCACCACAACTTATTCCTGCCGGCAGTTATATTCATTACCAATTGAAGAATAAAATATCATCATGGGAAGGAATAAAGCTATAGTACTACAAAATCATCAATCTGTTCTCATTTCAAAGAAAACTACTGAAAATAATTAATCCATGAAATATAAAATTTGATGATACACATGATATTGCGCAAGTGCTCGAAGTACGCCTTAAACAAACGGATTCCGATGTTAATAACTATAATATTATTAGCTAAAATGTGGATTCGTTAGTGATATCGGCTCAAATGTCATTACTATAATCATGATCACTGAATTATTATTTTACTATTAAGACTAATGTAGTACACATTATAGTAATTATTAAAATATGTTAACATTCATTCTTCATCAAATTTATAATTTAATGTTAAAATTCTATAATGGAAACTAGAAATTTAAGAATTTAATAATGAATCAACTAAAATTGAATATTCTTTCACAACTTAGATTTATAGAAAAACATAAAGTTTCATTGTAAAATAAATTCTTTATGAATATTTCAACCACCAGACTTTCTGAGAGTACTTGAAAGATATGCAAAATGAGTATATTCAGAAACTTGAGAATTTCTTATCAGGAGAAAAAATTAGGCAATATTCAATATATTAATAAATTACTTAGCTAAACTTAATCATCATGATCGATTATTAGTTAACAGACCAAAATCGCCAGTAATAAAATGAGACAATACAATTGTTGATATTCATTGCCTAATAGAATTAATTTTATTATTGTATATTATTGTATATTTAACAATTTTCACTACTCAATATATATCATTCTTTTAACTTTTTTTAGTTTTATATATAAATATAAAGAGCAGATTTTCAAAGATTTATATTGCACATGCAATTCAAAAAATGGTACATATACATCAAAATAAGAAAGTTGGCAATTAAATAATAGTACAATTTATTTCAAACCTTGATTAAACATGACGAACCCTCTTCAAGCTAAATTTTCAAATGATAATAGGAAATATTTTAAGTGAAAATATCACATTTATTAAAGTTACTTCTTAGATAACAACAAGAAGAAGTATATTCTAATGCAGATTATATAGTATTTTTTTTTTGGACAATAGCAAGTTTAAAATTATATGGTTTATTATTCTATATGATAATACTTTCAAGAACCAACAAATATAATTATCCATTATCATCATTTATTCTAAAATTGATCTATGTAAAAAAAGGAAGATTTTGCAAACTGAAATTTGTGACTTTGGCACCAAATTCAATTGTAGAAACAATTTAATTTATAATATTCGCTCTATTTGGGCTAATTAAATCCAAGCAAAAATTAATGATTTTTTTATACAAATAAATCAATTATGAGGATTTTTGAGCCTAGCTTCATATTATCGCCGATTATTAGAGTACGGTAATGGAACGAATTTATAGTTGTTTCCTATATAATAAACAAAACTATTAGATGGATAGTATAATATTAATATGCTTATAATTACAATAGCAATCTTAAATATTTACTTACATGCATAATATAATTTTCAAATTATATTGTGAAATATGTAATAAGTGGATTGGAAACTCAATAATTTGAACTTATTTAAAGGAAATGATATTATATAAAGGAAAAAATAATTGAATGCATGGATATAATGTATAACATTACAGTTAAAATAAATGCACCTTTAATATATTTAAAAAGTTTAAATAGGCTTATATCAAAGATAATATTTATAATTTAATATAATAATATAAATTATTTCAATTGGATAACTGATACTATATTAGTTAAAGTTTTAGTATGGAGAATATTGGTTCATATTTCAAAAATTGTTTTGAGAAACAAAGTGTAACAACAAAATTGATACAATATCAATTAAGTAAAATTCTATAAATGAGATCCAAGACACATTCATTTCTGTATCCTATTTATTTAATTAATATAAGAATTTAATACAATGATAATGATGTTAAAGATTTCCACAATTTGTTACATACATGATTCCATTGAACCTCAAAGAGTTCACATCACTGCTGTATCAAGATTAGGCATCAATAACCCAACAAAAATAGTTTATTTGAAAATTAAAGCTTTCGTTCCATCAGATAGAAATATTGAGACACAAAAATCAAAGATTTTAAAAGGCCTAGATACTTATTATTAACGATAACTTTGGACGAACATCAAAAATTAAGCATAACTATAATTAAGAGGGCCTTTTCGAAGAAATAGGAAAAAATACTAAATTGTAATATATTAATATATCTCATTGAAATTCAATAATCTGGGTCCTGTGATCACCAGACATTGAAGATAGGGCCTTTATGGCTAAGATGACCCGTTACTAAATGAAGTCTACCTACAGAGTCAAATGATCACTCAACAGTGCACACATGGGGTACTACCGGTATGACGAGTGGTTTGTAGTTTAATTATATTAGAGTAGTTATTAGGGAATTTTACTTTGTATATATTTTTTCTTTATTTTTTTACTTTAATAAAACTGCAAATGCGCTGCGAAAAAAAAAAAAAAAATGAAATTCAATAATCATGTTCTTAGACAAATTGAATAATAATATTTAGTTAGCTGTTTTTTTCATTGCACTAATTATTATATATTAAATTGCATTTCAAAATTATATGGTGATATTATCACTTGAGCAAGTTTGAAAAATGCTTAATGAATTTGGTTTTAATAATAAGGAAGTGGAATTGTGGAATGAACCAATTGATCATATTTATCTCAAAATCAATAATTCTATTCAGTTGTATAACTTTATCAAAACAGCAATAATTATCATGCAACAATATCTCCTATTACTAAACTAAAACTATATCATTTTAAATCTTTAATAATAAACTAGTTTTACAACAGAAGTAAAGGAACAACTATATTGTACCTCCTTATAAAATATGAACAATACAATGATTTTAAATATCTTAGACTATACATTCTAAGGTTGCTTGCCGAAACTTAGGGGTTTAGGCAAGATGGCGTTTCGCCGAAAAGCGAAATTCTGCTGAAACTATATTAAAGTTATATTAAAAAACTGGCAAAACTTTGGAGAAAGGCGAAACTGCTGAAACTCTGCCAAAACTATAATAAATCTATAGTAAAATTTTGACAAAACTAATCGTAGAATTTTGAAGAGGTTTAGACAAGCAACCTTACTACATTCTATGCACAAGAGAATGATAACTGGTTGAGTTTTTATATAATTTTTTTATAGAGTAGATTAAAGAAAAGATTAAAAAAGATGACATATATTGCTACTAAATATGCAAATCAATATTATTACTATAATTTGAACAATTTCTCTTATCAAGCAGTTCAATTTGGAAAAAAATAACTTCTAGGATAGTGATTGTATAGATAAAAAAGTCTTGGATATTCATCAAAAGAAATATTTTAAAAGATGTTTTTTATGCAATTATTATGGATACGTTCAAGAACAATTTGTAGGAAACTGTTGTCAGTGCTGACCGTTATACTTGAGCTTAATTTTATTGATCCTGCTGAAAATGGTAAACTTTATAAGACTGTAATTAATTCAGGCGCGGTAGAAGCATCTCTTTTTACCATGTCCATAGTGTGCTTGGAAAAAAGGGATGGCAAGTTCATGTTGGGAGAATGGGAGAATAATCACAAATCAAAGGATTGTATATTAAAAAAAAGAAAAAATAAACTAGTTCTTTTTTAAAAAAAAAATATTTTATTTTTAAAGGCTCAAAAGGCTCAGAAACAAGAATAGATATTATGTTCATAGAGGAAGTATATTTATCTGATACTTTCTATAACATTTATAACAATTGGTTAAATACAGAAATTAGAAAAATTAAATTAAAATCTGTATTCATAACTAATCTCGATTTGAGTAAGCCATCTGAGCTATTAAAATTAAAAAGTACCACCAATCAGATGAAAGGAAAGAGTTCATGGCAAGTCTTCTCAATAAGCAATAATGATGGTACAGGATGTTTCCAAGCACATCTTCAGAGCTGGCGTGAAAGTTGGAAAGGATCCAAAAACAAATCACAGGCGGATTACAGTTTAACAATGAAAATAGTTTTAAATCTCTGAAATAGAAGAAAGATAAAGAATTCAGAAATTGGATTAAATACGAGTTTTCTTTCGTCCCTTACTTTTCCAAATTCTTTTCTTCACTCCTATAGCTCCAAAACTTTGAAGGTATATACCTTCAAATTTTTTACTTTTTTTTTAACTAATAATGATTTTATTAAATTATTTAAATATGCAGCTAATTCTTTAAATTATAACTATAGTTAAAATTTTATCAGAAGAACTTGGTAGAACTATTCTAGTCATACGTTTCACCAATTTTAATTAATGATATAAACTTCAAATTTAGAATTTTAAACAGATCAAAAGAATTATTATTATAGACACCATCGCTATCCGTAGTAAATCTTAGGTGCAACGCCTTACTGAGATCAAACAAAATTACATAAAAGGCCATTATAGGTGAAGCATTGATGATTATTTCTGACCGTCCAAAAACACTCGTGTTATTGAGAAGGAAAGGTTTGTTGAACTTACTTATGTAGTTGGTTTATTAAATTTATTTTATCTAAGCTATTCTTTGTCAGATCTCCATTGATACGATCTTAACCAATTATTCTAACAAAGATTAGCATTCAATCGACGCTTATCCGAAATACAAGTTATTGGAACAACTCTAGCAAGATTGAAAATCGTTTGTCTGCAAAACATCAAACTATTATCAACTATTATCAGAAGTAATTTTACTGGTCTTTCCGAAAAGCTCTTGCTTTAAAAAAACATGGATTTTTTGATGATATTCGTACATTATCAGATATTCTAAAACCCATTAAAGATGCAATTTTAGAGGAACCTCATATTTTAAACAAATGCTTATCAAGCATTAAGAAATTCATGTGCCAAGAATCCCTTCATATATACTTATATTTACAAATAATTTAGCTCACAAAAAAAAAAGCACCCTTGTGCATTTGAACCATTACGTAAGATTCAATGCATAACAGTCTATTTCATGATTTAAGGCCAATAGTTGGAGGTATTTTGGGGGATATCGTTAGAATAAGATTGTGATATGATGTTCAGATATTTCCAAGATACCGAAAATTTTTCAGTCTGGTGTTGAAGATTATTGTGTAGATATTACGGCCAATGTTCTTAATATTTGAATGAGATTAACTAAAGAATATACTGAAGCCAGAAAAAGGGAACTAAAGGTCAAAGAGAAAGCAATTAATAACAAAAACTTTATTAAACAAAAATGACTTAATATAGACAAAAAATTTGGTATTGGATATCAAATAATAAATTATTATTAATTTATTACTTTCTCAACAATTTCTACAAAAATTAAAAAATTATATTGTATCTTAGTTAAGATTTATTATTATCATCCCAATCCCATAATGTATTTTCAACATCTAAATTTTTTTCTACAAATAAATCTTTAATTTCCGCAATTTCTTCTTCATATTTACTATATAATTTAATATCCTTTTTTTTATCACTTATTTCTTTCCAAGTGTTTAAACATGATGGTGTACCTAAATAAAAAATATATTTCGGATCTGGTTCTAAAGGTAAAAAATGTATATCATCCAATGCTTCATAATCCGAAACACTATCTGCTCTAAATCTTAATAAAGCATTATTTGCTTGCGTATCTGCTTCAGAATAAATTCCACTAAAATAAATATAAATTTAGTTAAATAACTTATATTTATACCGTATATTATTATTAATTTTACTCACCCCATAAAAGCAATGAACATGTTTTGTAAAACTGTTACCACAAAGATACTGGCAAGTAATGTTAAAGTTTCTACAGCCCAAAAATCCCAAGTATCATTTTGTACGTAACTTCCGCTCAACCAAAAATAAGATGAAATTAATGAATCAAGAAAATTTGTATTTGGATTATCCAATCTACTATTCGGATCAAAATCCTTTGTCACTGTAACATCTATAGGTTTATTCGTTGTAGAATATTTTAAGGAATATGTATCAGATTTTTGAGTAACGTTTGTAAAAGTTGGATGTTGTAATAAAATAAACCTATATAACAGATATAAGATATACTATATTATTATTTTTTTTCTCGTAAAGTACAGAATTAAGTAAATTAAAACTTACATTGAATGAGCAAAAGCTGCAAGTACCAAAAACATAAATAAAAGAAAAATATACGATTTTTCCAAAATATTTAAAATAATAAATATGTATCTTGCAGTCTCTAAGACAAATGAAGATAAATTAGCTTACTAAAAAAAATTATTTTAGCATATAATAATATATTAATGTCATAAGATACTGATACCTGATAACAAACGAAGATATAAAATCTAGAATTCAAAAATGAATAAGGGATATTAATATCGTATCGGTAATAATAATTGTTGCTTACATAGATATCAGATACTTACAAATTCAAACCAGAGAATTAACACAGTAAAAGAAATTGAGACAGTTATTTCTTGAGTTGTAACTACATCTGCGAATCCATTTGAAAACTTATATGATTTTATAATAAATACAGACAATACAAATAATGGAGAAATAATAGCAAATAAATCAAAAATATTGAAAAAATTAATATAATTCTTCCATCCAAGATGAACTAGTTGCCTGTATTCTACAAATATTAAGAAAAATCCCAAATAATAAAGATAAATTATCAAAACAAATATAAAATTATTAAGATGCCCCGTCATTCTAACATGAGAAAGATAAAATCCGCATACAACAGCATAACAAGTTGCATACAAAATAAAAAGCACGTAAAGTCGAAGAAAATAATTTCTTGCTGGAACCCATCTATAATTAATTGCAGCTTCCATCGTTGGATTATTAAACACGTTATTATCTTTTTCAGCTCTAATAATTTTAACGAATGGACTAAGTTTTTCTGATATTTGTGATAAATACCCTCGAGGAACAAATATTAAGTAAAATAATTTTGAAAAGGATGATTGCGGATTATCCTTTTGACCTTCCAATTGCCCTTCTACAATTTCACTTGTAGCAAATTCATATAGAGGTACAATTCTTATTTGCGGAGGAATTTTTCTAAAAGGATTCGGAAAAATATATTGATATATCGCGGTATAAATATCTATATATTTTTCTCGAAGATATTTTAAATCAAATCGACGATGTGTTTCTTTAACAACTAATTTTGTATTTGGAGAGAATGCAATAAAATTTTGTTTTTTTTTTCTCTTTTTTTCAATTTCATAAGGTATAACATCTCTATAATCAATATTATATGACATTTCCATTCCAAGAAAACACTTCTTATAAAATATTTCCTTAGCATAATAATCTAGATAAATAATATTTAAATTATTTGCATCTTTGTATATATTAACATATATGAGGTTAAACTTACCTAACAATTTATGTCTATATAATTCCGGAATTGCTTTAGAAACAGTAATTAACCATCCAATATTTTGAACCGCGTTGTTAGTATAATACTCTAAAAGATATCCAACGATAACAACATGACGATCAATGCGCCTGTCTGAAAAAAAAAAATTTTTATACATTCATTTAGACTTTAAATTTGGGTTAGTAAAAAAAAAAAAGAATTACCTTTTGAACAGAAACAAATCGCAACTTGTAAGTCAGTTAATTTATCGTTTATTTCTTGTCTATCATACTCATCTTGTATGCTCTCCACATTCTGTTCTACAATTTTTTCTTTGACATAAATTGTGTCATCTTCCCATCGCTTAATTTGAGGAATGTGCAAATGCGTATCTTTTTCGCCAAATAAAATATATTTCACAAGAAATGTAGAACCTCCAATGATAATGTTCCTCATAACATCATAACGAACATCTATTAATTTCCAAACAACTGGATTTTTCTTAATAAATCTCCAAATTACAAGAGAAATTCTATTTATTAACTTTACAAACTTATGATTTTTTTTATGACCTACGAGTCTATATTTTCGATAATTCAAATGAGCAAGAGCTTCACAAGCATGTCTTATAGCAGTAACATGTCCATCTGGGTATGGCCATCTAATTGTAGCATTTTCCTTAATACCTTTACAAGTCCAAGAAACTTTTAGGTAAAAAGTTCTTTCTCCAACATCTAATTCTTCAATATTTAGTGTATCTTCTTCATCATTATCTCTTAGTTTTGTTTTATTTGACCAAATATATTCGAGAAATACATCATCTTTATTTCCTTGCCAAATTTGAACCGTAGTTCTTCCAACAATTAATTGAATTGTTTCTTCTTCGTCCAAATAAGCAGAAACTCGTTCATAATTATGATCTATCACCCAAGGTTCTTTATTATTGACCAACGGTTTTTCATCTGAAGGATCTTTTTTACGACGGTAAATAATATGTGCCGGATGATTTTTAGCATGTTTTTTTGGCATCATATATGAATTTTTATCCTCGGGGATTAATTTACAATAAAACTTACTTTGTGAATCCTCCTCTTCTTCTTTTGAACTCCATGTCTCAAATATTGAAGTAACCTTCCCATTAGCATCAACTGTTAATAGATCTCCAAAACACCTTGAGTTGTAAGATTTAAATGCTGTATGGTCTTCTATTGTAATAAAATTATCGTCACCTTCGTGATATTGAATATGATTTTTAGCCGAACTAAATAAGCTCCAAATTACGACTGTTGCATGTTTTTTTTTTGGTTCTTTAATAATTAACATTAATTCTTTATCTCCTTTAGTAAATTCACCAAACATTATTTTAACATCATCCCCAAATTTTCTACAAGCTATCTCCAAACCACTCTCAATAAGAAATATTAAAACAGAATCAATACCTGTTGAAAACATTATAAGAAGTCTATTTCGAGAAATTGAGAAAATTGGTTTAGAAAACTTTTTGTATGAATATTTATATAATCGCTCTTGAAAAATTTGTTCCATTTCCATTGTTATTAAATTAAATATTTGTATTGCTTGGATGCCTTCATTATATTGTTCAATTACAAAATAATGATCAAAAAGACACGCTTCTATCCTTTCCAAACAAGGGTTAATATTGTATAAATTAGTTAATTCATCTTCAAGTAATTTCGGATATAAAAAATGCTTTGGAATGTTTTTCTTTGAAGAATGATATTTACTATCATATGTATATCTAAAAATTCCTTTCGAATTAATAATAAGACACCATATTCTTGCAGATTCATTTGAATGAATAAATCTAACAATTCCACCTATTTGATACTCTCCATATTTTTCTAGACTGTTGAATGATCCTGAATCATCTTTTACCATGCGATAAATTAATGTTTTACCATGCTGTTGATTTTTTGAATCGACCAACATATCACTTTTTTCCACCAATGATATTGCGATAAAAATAACTTTTTCGTTAGGATATTCAACAAGTCTTGATAATGCAGTTTGAAATAAAGGATATTGTTGGTTTTCCAGAATTTTCATTTCAGTATTTAGAAAATAACTTTTATCAACTTGAAATGATTTCTCTTTAGATAATTCGTCTTTTCGTTCCTTCTCAATAATTTTAAATTGTAACGTATCTAAAAAGTAAAAAAGAAGAAAAAAATAAAAATTATAAAATTCTCTATATTATCTGAATTATATACTATACATACAATTGTTGAATATAAGAATATATGATCCATCCAGGCTTATAGCTAAATGCCATCTTGCCTTACTCGATATTTCATTATTCTGTTGCTTAGAAGCTATTAAAAAATAAATAAATTGGTTAAAAAATAGATTACGTATAAAGTAAATTAATATTTTTTAAAATAATAATATACAAGATGCGAAGGTTTCCGTAGAAATAATTATATTATCTGCATCTGATGAGCTTAACATTCCTTCCGACATATTTGAATATCATTGATAGGTAAAAATTTTTAAGATATATTTTCGGATTTTATTATTATTATTTTTCTTCTTATTTTTTGATATCTTTCATGTTTACGGTGTATATTTATAGTCTATTATACGTGATATTTTAATAAAAATATTTTTGGTTATTATATTGTTGGTTATTATTCTTAATTCATCTATTTTAATTAATTGACAAGATAAAACGTGTTGAACGCCCGATTTACGTGCGTAATATTAAACAAAAATTCATTTTTTTGCAAAAATTGTGCCACATAATAATAAATAACCGACAACTTAATAATTAATATTGTCCCACGATATATGGCGCCTCATTTCGAATTTCTTGTATAATCATTCAAAACATAAATCATTTTACATCGCCACATTGTATCAGCCTCCTTTATAATTTAGAGAAATATGGATTTATTACTCGCCTGTTGATTGGACTAAAATATAGCGTTAAATTGCACTTAATATAATGACACGTACGTTGTTAATTTTTACAATAGTTGTTAGATTTTAAACGGTTGGCAATGATGTTTACTGGCTCTGCTATGTTCAATTGTCCAAAAAATAATTTTTTTTTGGGACATTTTTACCTGTAAACTACTTATAAATTATGTCCCATTTACTGGGCTTTGTACGCGTGATTCTTTACAGTAATAATTATTTAATTAGCCATCAGTTAATCGATAATAAATCATTAAATCATGTGCACTGCCCGATAATTTAATAAAAGTTCTTTTGGTGCAAAAGCTGTGTAAAAGGTATCATTAATTAAATTAATTGTTTTCATTTAATCTTAATATTTTAAACAATCGACAAGATGATATGCCCTTATTTTCTAATCTCTTGTGTATTTATTCTCGTTTTAAAATTATTTAATTTATTCGAATCATGCTGCATCGCCATATTATATCAGCCACCTTTTTTAATTTAGAAATATATGGCTTTATTGGCTTTATTCACATATTTTTTTTGATTGTGGCTTTTATGGTATTATTTTTTTACGATTAATCGTGATTGGACAGTAAAAATCATCACACATTTAATAACACGTACTCAAATTATTTTTTAATAAATTACAAAACAATGATGCACTTACTATCAATTTATTGGTAGAGAAGTGAGAAATGCGGATTTAGTCAATACATACACCAGTTAATTTTATCAAGTAATGATATTTGAATTCGTGTTTTTAAAAAATGGCATCTTAATTCTCCCCTATATTAAACCAAAATTATATTGAAATTTTGAAATAGTATTCGTGCATATATGAATGTGTGATCATTCTATGTCTATTTTTACGACGAACTTTGGTTTTCAATAAAAAGAAATAAGGACATTTTAACTCATATAAAGTTCTCCCGAAGTTCTTCCATATTATTTTAAAGTAAGTTATACAGTATTTATTAATTAATTTCGTTAGATAGATATTACTTATTTAAATCATTTATTATTTATCAGTTATGATAATCTCATAGTATTGATGAACTCCTTGAGTGGATTGAACAATATATTGATCTATTCATTGAACAAGTTTTCAATCAATTTCTTTAAAATTTTTGTATAGGTTTTTATGCAATAAATGTTATTTTTAATATACTGTAGTTATCATGTCCCCTATAAATGTATTATATATCAATCCATTAGAACTAATGAAATAATATGGATAACATCTCAAATGCATATTAACTGAAAGCATAAAGTAATGTATAGTTAATTTATTCTTTTGCTATCTTTCTCTTGTTTGTTCTTCATTATTCTTTGATATAAATCGTGTTATCTTCCTACCATTTAGCTCTCGCTATGCTAAATTCATATTTTTCTACCAAATAAAATATATTTCAATGAAAATTTATCATAACATTCACTATTTTCCAATATTTTCAGTTTTTTCTTGTTGATAAATCTTCAAAATCACAATAAATAATTTTATTATTAACTTTACAAACTTTTTATATTCTACAAGTCTTCTATATTTCGATAATTTAAGAGCTTCACAATAAGCATATCTTATAACAATGACATATAATAGTTATTACAAGTTGTTTTTTTCTATTATTGACTGGTTTGTATAATTAAATCCTTATTCCCTTGTCAAATTTGAAATAGTTCTTGCATTAATAATAATACTTCGTCCAGATAAGCAGAGATCTTTCGGCTGTCCATGAATGACAGCTTTGGTGTATAAATGATAAAAAGATGCCTGTTACAATGTTACATTTATGTATACTTTACTTTAAATAGTATGTGCTCGTTTATCTTTACCATATTTTTTGGAATCGTTTATGAAGTTTATTCGATTAATTTGAAGAAATTTAAAACTTTTTTTAGGAAATCACCTTGAATTAAGAATAGTCCTATATAGTTCTATATTAATACTTTAGAATTCTAGTTGTATTGATTCCTTTATTAAATTATAATTAATAATAACTTCAATTAATTCACCACCAAACATTATTTTAATATATTTCTATTCTTTTTGAAACCTTTTTGGATAATTTAATTATTGTTATTATGTTTCTTTAAGATTATTCATTACTAAAGAATACATCATAATTTTGCAACTTTAATAATGGGCATTTTAGTAAATTCTTGGATATGAGTACTTTTGTCATGAAATTATTGTGTTACATTTGGCTATACTTTATTTGTTTTTTTTTATTTTAGAGCACTTTGGTTTTTAAATTAAACAAAGAATTGAGGGATTAAATAAAGTTGTTTAGTAATTATGGATTATTTATAGCACAAAAATGAATTATTCAGGCGCGAAGTTCCTTAAAACACTGGTTTTTAAAAATCGAAATATGTCTTCGGATAATATCATGTCTAGAAAAATGTCATGTAGATATTCAGGATATGTCACGAAATATTGTTGTTGTAACCTTCGAACTATTTAATTATTTGATTGTACAATAAACAACATATTACATAAGCGTATATCTTTGGTAAACACTTGCATATAGTTAGATATAGTACTGTATATTGCGAGTTTTTTGATTCGCGATTTCTGAGTAAGCCAAAATTCTATATTGTATATAAATCAATAACTAAATTTAATTTAAAATTTCTTAATAATACAAACTTTCAATTTGGACTATACAATAAATAAATAAATTATATAAATACAACTATAACTAAATACATATAATATATATATATACTGTATAAAAAAAAAAAAAAATTATTAAATAAACTCTTAACAACAATTAAATTAAATAACGGCATGTAATTCTCTTTTCTTAGGTTCTTCTGATTTATTACTCTCTTCTTCAAAATCACTACTAAATCTTTGTGTAGTTCGAAGTCTATTTGCTGCTTGAACTACTTCAACTGCTTTTTTGAATTTTTTGCGTGCATTAAAGTTATCTATAAAGTCTTCTAATAAATCTACATCTTTGGCTACATCTCCTACAATCCATCTATGTTTTAGGGCCTCAGCAGCTGTCGGCCGTTCTGATGGATTTATGTTAAGAAGTGCACGAATGAAATCTTTGGCTAATAGTAAATAAATCAATTAATATGGTATTTAATATTTCAAACCGGGTTAAACAATTAACTAACCATCTTCTGACACGTTTCTCCAAAAGTGATTTTCAAATTTGACACGAGCATTAGTTACTTCTTCGAAAAAAGCAACACTATCTCTTGCTTGAAATGGATGATAACCACAAAGTCTACATTAATAATTTGATATAATAATCAATAAAAAATATATACACATGTATTTAGAATAAAGTGGAAAAGTTTAAAAAAGTTCTTACAGATAATATGTAATGATTCTGTAAAAATTAATAAACAAATCAAATTAGACATTGCATGAAAACTCGAAATTAAAACAAAAATTTCGAAATATTATAATTTCAATAACGTTTACCCAATACTCCATAAATCGACAGACTTCGAATAAGGCATACGTTTCATAATTTCTGGAGCTATGAAAAAATTGTAGGGTTTCATTATTGTTAATTAATATTAATTAAATAAATTTTAATTCTTGATTTTTTACCAGCATAAAGTTGAGTTCCACAATGTGTCATCATTATATCATCATCATCTGATATAACTTTCGAGATACTAAAGATATATGAGAGTTAATTGAGTTAATTTGATAATATTATAAAATGTATAATATAAGTTATTAACTTACCCGAAATCCGCAAGTACAAGTTCTGAATCATCTGTTTCGTCTCTGTAGATCAGATTTTCCGGTTTCAAATCTATATTAATATTTCAAAGAGTAAATAATTATATATGATCAAAGTAAAAAAAAAGTAATTACAAGCAATTATTATGCTTACCCCTATGTACAACATGATGTTCATGAAGATATTTAACGGCTTCAAGTACAGTTTTAATTACATCAACGGCATCACGTTCAGTAAATTTTCCTCGGTCCATCAACCTGTCAAATAATTCACCCCCTTTTGCGCTTCCAAGTTGAATTTTTTATTAAAGATTATAACTTTTAAAGAATGAAAAATAATTTAAATTTAAGGATACAGTTCAAAAACTAAATAATATTTTCCTCTTGATTCAAACCAATCAAAAAATTTTACAATATTAGGATGATCCAATTGAGATAATATTTCCATTTCTTGTTTTACCATTGATTCTTGATGCCTAATTTTATTTTTATTGATCACTTTAATTGCGACTTTACGTCCCGTTGTAATCTTGGTTGCTTCTTTAACTGAACCATATGTACCAGAACCTATTCATTATAATAAATTATAGTAAGAAACACGTATTTTTATGTTTGGAAATGAGATAACGGATATACAGTGATAAATTTCGCCTAACGCAATATAATAAGTAAAGTACTTGCCTAGAGTTTTCCCGATTTTATAATATTTCTAAAAAAAAATTGGTTTAATAAATTATATTCATTTCCTCAATCTTACTTGAAATAACTAACCTTTTTTTCATGGGACTCTGGCTGGGGACCTCTATTAAGTGCTTGTTCAAGAAGGTCAGCTATACCCATTTTAAAAAATTTACCAAAGTATTGATAAAAGCAAAATTTGAATGGTTTTTGAATTGTTCGCCAATATTAGCAGTATATTAGCCCGATCACGTGAACCGAATAAAAACTTTTACTAACTTCTTTATTTGGTTAATACCTTAGAGTAGAATTCTAGAAATTCGCACGTTGTACTTGTACATCAACATCGAAATCACGTGAATGTGAAAGATTGTGTCATAAACTTTTGTGATAAAAAAATTTTCTGATGTCTGATAGTAAGCATGTCAAAAGATATGAGTGCTGTTTATGCGACAGACGAATATGGGCGACCTTTTATCATTGTAAGAGAACAACAAAGGAAAAGTAGACTTAGTGGTATTGATGCTATAAAGGTGAAACTAGCTATTTTCGATGCTTATTGATCTATGGTCAATTCAATAACTTTTGTTCCTATTCATAATAGTACCATATTTTAGCTGCAAAAACTGTTGCTTCTATTATCAAGACTTCTTTGGGTCCTAGAGGTGTGTTATCAATTAATTTATATAATATTAGGTTGATTATTAACATATTACTATTATTATCCCATTTTTGTATTTCCACAATTGAATCAACCAAAGGTCTTGACAAAATTCTAATATCACCTGATGGAGATATTACCGTTACTAATGATGGTGCAACAATTTTGACTCAAATGGAAGTTGAGCACCAGATTGCAAAGTTATTGGTTCAATTATCTAAATCTCAAGACGATGAAATTGGGGATGGAACAACCGGTGTTGTCGGTATGTTTTTAAAACTTAAGCTTCTTTTTATATAGCATCATTCCTTTTTAAAAATTATTTAGTTAAATCTCATTTTGTTAAGTTCTTGCGGGCGCACTTCTTGAACAAACTGAGACTCTCTTGGAACGGGGTATTCATCCTATTCGTATAGCAGATGGATTTGAGAGAGCGTGTAAAATTGCTGTGGAGCATTTGGATAAAATTTCTGATCTAGTAGAATTTACCAAAGACAATACCGAAAGCTTACTTAAAACTGCAAAAACAAGTTTAGGAAGTAAAATGCAAGTATATTATTTAATTAATATCTTAAAGTAATAATGAAATTTACCAACAATCAATTATTTTTTTTTCCGTCTGTTAGAGTTTCAAAATATCATGGACAATTTGCTAAAATAGCAGTTGACGCAGTATTATCAGTAGCAGATTTGGAGCGTAAAGATGTTGATTTTGAATTGATTAAAGTGGATGGAAAAGTAGGAGGTTCATTAGAAGACACTAAATTGGTACAAGGAGTAGTAATCGATAAAGATATGTCACATCCTCAAATGCCACGTGAAGTACGTGATGCTAAAATTGCTATTTTAACATGCCCATTTGAGCCTCCTAAACCAAAAACTAAACACAAATTAGATATTACTTCTGTCGAAGAATATAAAAAATTACAAAATTATGAAAAAGAAAAATTTGAAGAAATGATTAAGCGTGTCAAAGATACCGGTGCTAATTTAGTTATTTGTCAGTGGGGTTTTGATGATGAAGCTAATCATTTGTTGATGCAAAATGAGTTACCGGCTGTCCGTTGGGTTGGTGGTCCTGAGATAGAGGTATATTAATATACTTGTTCGTTTTAGGATTGTAAAGTTTGATCGAATAATAATTTTCAGTTATCACTATTTTTATACAGCTTATTGCCATTGCTACAAATGGACGTATTGTTCCTCGTTTTGAGGATCTTAAGCCCGAGAAACTTGGTAAGGCCGGTCATGTTCGTGAGATTTCCTTCGGTACTACAAAGGATCGTATGCTTGTTATTGAGGAATGTTCAAATTCTCGTGCCGTTACCGTATTTGTTCGCGGTAGTAACAAAATGGTGCGAAGCTATCCTTTTTTTTCTTACATATCATTATATTATATATAACGTGTTTTTGGTGATGATTCCATTTTTTGTTGCAGATAATTGATGAGGCTAAGAGATCCATTCATGATGCTTTGTGTGTTGTACGTAATCTTGTTCGTGATAATCGTGTTGTATATGGAGGTGGTGCTGCTGAAATCAGTTGTTCACTTGCCATCTCTCAAGCTGCTGATAAGGTAATATAATATTCAACCAATTTTGTTTTCTTACCTTGTGTAATTCTAAATATTTTATTTGTGTAATCCTAATTACTTTTATTTATTAAGATATCGTCCATTGAACAACATGCTGTTCGTGCATTCGCTAATGCTTTGGATGCGACTCCTTTAGCACTTGCGGAAAATTCTGGCCTCTCTCCAATAGAGACATTGGCTGATATTAAATCGCGCCAAATAAATGAAAATAATAGTCAATTAGGAATTGATTGTATGGGAACTGGATCTAATGGTAAATAATTTAATTGTGCTCTTACTCCAAAAGAAAATGCTATTAATCTTTTTTTTTTTTTTTTTTAGATATGAAAGTTCAATTTGTTTATGATCCACTTATTTCCAAAAGGCAACAATTCTTGTTGGCGACTCAACTCGTAAAGATGATACTTAAGATAGATGATGTAAGATAATTTATTTATTTATATATTGTTGTTTTTAAAATGAACATATTTACATTATAATCTCTTTTTAAATAACCAGGTCATTACAACGGGATCCGTCGGTTAAATTTACAAGTAAACATTTTTTTATAACCAATAACTTACAACGTTAACGTTGCCTGTAAAATGATGCATATTTTTTTAATATATGTTGAAAAACTTAAATTAGTACCAAATGAATTTAATTTTAATAAATTAGACACAAAATTGAGTATGTATTGCAACATAATTTCCAACGAATATAAAATATATTTATTGTTTCCATAAAAACATATCTGAAATTTAACCAACTTATGATGGGCATATTTGCCACAATATATGTTAACACATTCCTAATATAATAATATTTCATTACTAACATTTTAATTTATTCCAATCATGACTAAAAATTACAATTAAAATGAATATCATTGCATCTCAATGAGGAAAATTATTTTTTTCTTTTTTTATATTTTAATTCTATTAAATTCCCTTAAAATTAATTCATTGATTTTCGATAACTTTAGTAACTTTCCCAATAGCGATTGTTTTTCCTATGTAAGTTTATTATCATTAAGTAATATTAAAATAAATGTAATATAATAAATGAAAATGAAATCAAACCTTCATCTCGAAGAGTAAATCTGCCTAATTGAGGGTAATCCTCGAATGTTTCCACGCAGATCGGTCCTGGAGTTTCAAGTCGTGCGATTACTTTTTGTCCTTTCTTAACAAATTGTGGTGCTTTCTTTGATCTCTTTCCTGTCTTTTTCTCAAGCACATGTAAAAGAGCCTGTTAAAGGAAAGACAATTATAAATTAATATGATTTCACATGGTAAACATTGATAAAGTAAAAAACTTACGGAAACAGATATTTCTTCAACACATGAGTGTATGTGCAGAATTGCACTGTATCCAGCACAAATAATATTCTTATGTTCTAAAATGGCAAGTTGCGCTTCAAAGGTAGTAGTTGTCTTTACCGGTTTTTTAACATCACATACAACAAAACCAGTGGAACATTCCTACAAGAACGAACGGTTAAACACTTGAGGTAATATAATATCTTAAATAATGAGTACAACGAACCTCTTCTTCGATACCCTTAAGTCGTAACCGAACGTTATCACCACAATAACCGGTGGATACTTCGTCTTCGAGCTCATTGTAAATTGCAGATATTTCAACGGTACGCTATTTTTAACGAATAAATATAAGTAACAATAAAAATAATTCGAAATATCGGAGAATGGATAATATCTTTAAATGTATTAAATACCTTGTTTGGCATAACCATTACACTTTGACCTTTAGTAACTTTTCCGGATTCTACTTTTCCCACTACAATAGTGCCCATATCCTGTAAAATAAATGTATAGAGATTGATTTAATGATCACAATTTAATCATGATATAAACAAATAGGTTTAAATCATACTTTATATTTCTCTATAATTGGCACCATTAATGGGGAATTAATTTTTCTGTCTAACGCCTGCATGTTATCCAGATATTCCAATATCGAAGGACCACTAGTGGATTTGAATTAGATACATTTGAATTAAATACCAATAAATTAAAATAAAACGAAATAGAAAATAGACTGATGATATCCTACTTGTACCAATTACAAACATCTTTTGAGACTCGATCTTTCAAATTCAAACCGGTAAAGCCAGATACTGGCATAAATTCAAGGTCTAAATTACCATAGGATAAAATCGAGTAAATATAATAGATAGTCGTACGGATTTACAAATAAACTACTCTAAATCATCAACACATTTTACCTGTAGCAGGATTGAAGCCGCTTCCCTTCAAAAATGGGGTCAATTTATTAACGCACTCATCATATCTAAATGAATAAAATATTTTGGTTTTCGAATTTATATATGCAAGTGAAATTTTGGTTTTTAACTACCTCTCCTTGGACCAAGTCACTGTAGGATCATCCATTTTATTAATTGCAACTATCAATTTGCTGACGCCTGAAGTTTTTGCTAAAACAGCATGTTCACGTGTTTGACCACCTCTCTCAAATCCTGTTTCAAACTCGCCTTTTCTAGCTGATATGACCTAAAATGATTCAAAAAATTTAAATAATTAAAATTAATCGAATATTTCCTCGATACGGCACATGAAAAATGATAAGTGTACCAATATTCCGACGTCCGCCTGAGAGGCACCACCAATCATACTGGGTACATAGTTTTTATGGCCTGGAGCATCTAAAATAGTGTATCGGCGCTTATCTGTTTCAAAATAAGCACGACCACATTCAACTGTTTTTCCCTATAAAATGAAATGTTATTAGAGTCTAAAGAAATAATTATTACATAATCTTTATCGTTAAATATAAAATAAAAGTACCTTTGCGCGCTCTTCCTTGTTTGTGTCAAGTGCCCATGATAAATACCATGACTCACGACTTTGTTCTTTAGCTTCTTTTTCGTATTTATCCATAGTTCTCTGATCAATCATTCCTGTCAAAAACCTTTATAAAATTTAATTAATTAAATACCATACTTGCAAAATTATGAAACAATAAAAAAAAAATACTTACAGGATATTGCCACCCATAGTGGATTTACCGGCATCTAATTGCAAATTGAAATAATTATCGTAAGAAATATGTACACTAGATGTCGAGTCATCAATTAATTGAAACACAAAAAGATTCTGATCTCTCGGACTGAGGCTTGATAATGATAGAATATTAAAACCCAATTGTAGTATTTCCAGATTTCCAGATCTACTTCCATCGAATAACAATAAAAATAAAAATAGGAAAATTGAGGATCAGGTCCGCAAATGAGACTTTAATTATATTACTAACCTACATGACCGATGAATACCAAATTAATATGTTCTTTTCCATATAAATCTTCAATAACCTCACTGTCTACAGCCTCGTCTTCGGCTTGATACGCAGCTACAGAAATCGATTTTTTATCATCATTCGGTGCTGGTGCTTCAGCGGGAGCCTGAGCTTCAGTGGGAGTTGGTGCTTCGGCAGGAGCTGGAGCTGAAGCTGGTGCTGGTGCTGGTGCTGGTGCAGGAGCTGGCGCCGGCGCTGAAGTTGTTTCTGTAGCTGAAGCAAAACATTAAAAAAGTTGATAAACATTAAAATCTTTTTAAATAATAGCGTAATTTTTTAACGAACCATTTTGAAGCCAACTGGGAACAAATTCTTTTGCATTTACGTTCGGTTTAAAGACGGGAGCATTAGCATTTAAACCCATTTTTGAAAAAGTTTGTGGAAGAGCTTCAGTTTCTGCAGCCTCTTCCCAATTTTCTCCGGGGGCTATTTTTATATTCTCTTCGCTCATATTGACTTAATTTTTTTTTGGATTAAGCAGATGATCCAAGGTGCTTCGTATTTATAAGTATTACAAATCCGGTATGACCATTTTTTTGTGGTTCAACGCCACAAAGTGATATCACATGCAATCTTGTGGCACAGCCAGCCGATTGTGGCGCAACAAAATCGCTAATCTCATCTTGGGCAAAGAGTAAAATTGCTGCGCCACTAAACTGACTTTTAAATTATTGGGTAGGGGTTGAAATATCACCGAACTTAAAAGCATGTGATAATAATCTATATGACGTAATGCAATAATTTATCTAAAAAATATCAGTATGTTAGATCCGATTTGGCTGCATAATAAAAAGATATCAGATATAAATATAATTAATATTTAGTCCAAAGCAACTATCCATTTCCGGACCTTTTGCAATTTATCCTTTAATAATACCGTATGTTGTATAAGGTATAAATACCCTGTTCCGTAAATGTTAAATCTGAAGCTAAAGATAGAAATTAGGAGCGAATAATATCAGTGAATAGCGGTCGTTTAAATACAATAAATTTAATTGTAATACTATCTCCGAAGGATCTTAACATTCTTATGAATTAATAATCATTCATATTTATGTAATTTGCTCTTCGTAAATATCATTGTTGATTATATGCTACAACGAATGCAGATGAGATTAAATATTATATTTTAAATTTCATTCCTGGGTTAAATATAAATTTTTTATACAAGAAGTAACAAGAACCTAATTTCGAATCTATCCGAAAATAAAATTGAATAAATTTTAAGTATGGAACAAACCGAAAACAAGGAAGAATTTTTAGGAAAAGAACAAATGAGTGAATTCATGAAAGGAATATTCGAATTAAAGCAGTACTTGAAGCAGAGAAAAAATTGCAGAATGTTTCAAGGAAGAAGAAAATTTAAGGGAAGAAATTAAAGATTATGAACAAGAAATGATGAGTCTTGATACTCAGTTTGAAATGAAGAAGGATGGGAGCTTTATATACGGAAGGCTCGAGAAATCAAACGGGAAAAAAATAGATTAATTTGGGAAAGAAATTCTATTGAATCGGCAGAATCTCAACAGTTAAAAGATATTTGGCTAGAAAAGAAAAGAAATTTTAATGAAAGAATAGAAAAAGTGAAAGAAAAAGAAGATTATCTTTATAGAAAAGCAAGGAAAATATCAATTAAATTAGCTATAGAAAAAGGGAAAAGGAAAAGTATACTAAATGGGAGGATGAAGAGAAACCGGACTTCCAGTATACGGGAACAGACTGGGAAGAAGACTAATAATATATAAAAAAGGGGAATTTATAACATGTAGTGATTGTAGTGTACAGTACATTGTCTCTATTTCTGTAATATCAGAATAAATTTCAAGGATTCTTAAAATTTCTCATACTGGTTCATTTATTAAATTAACAAAAAAAAATTATTTCTCGATGTGAAACATGGTACTTAGTATTATGATGATCAGCACGGCAATAGATTCATATAATTACTTTTTCAAAATCAGAACAATAAAAAAAAATAAAAGATTTAATTCTCAATAAAGAGTCGTTTATATGAATAAATAATTTAATTTGTGCGTTAAAGTCTACATTATATTTGAGAAACTACATAGTATAACAGTATTAATAACCGAAAATAAAGGTAATTAAATTCCGAAACAAATTACAATTTGCTTTGCATTCCAACCGATAGATCCTTTAATAATTCACCTAAAAATAATGGAGAAGACAAATTAATAAAGAGCAAAGAATATAAACGACTCTTATTGCGATGATTATTTACCTTGATTATCAGTTTCATTATATTTCACCCAATCATTCGCAATTGGGGCATAGAGAATACGTGGATCAACTCCTAAAACATTAATAAGTTGCTTGTTGTATGGAGCTAAGTCTTTAACAATCTCTCGGATTAATGGTTGTACAGTCGCAGCAGTCTGTACAGAAATTAACCGATTAATAATATACCACGAAAGATTTGCATCAATTTGAGTAAGAGCATAAAGACGAGCAACATCCGCAAGTATTTTGCTGTTAAAAAGATGAATTTTTTTTTCTTAGTAAAAGACACCATCATCATCAATTTAGACTTTAGACATTTCAACCTTAGATATACTTACGACGATCCGCCTGTTAATTTTTGAATAGACACAACAACTTGTTCAAGAACTATTCTGTCACCATGCGCTCTAGCTAATGCTTGAATTGTATCAGATTCTTGCTTCATCCATGCTTCAAAGACGGAAACTCCCGATGATGTTTTCTTATTCATTTTTGCTCCCAACTAGTAAGTAATATTGAACGTAAGATTATTATAAGAATTTATAAATAATATTTATATTACATAAATAATTACCTCTTTAACCAATAATTGTTCTCTGAGTCTGAATAATTTAAGCTGATTATCTAAATTAGAGATATCCCACGACTGAGCACTATCGGCATCTGACACAACGGGTAATTTAACAGAGCCAGATTGTACCCCCGCCAACAATTCCTTGGAAACTAAAAAAAAGAACATATTACAGTATAAATGAACCGTTTAAAGTACAGTGGGCCTGAATATACATAATAAATACTTTATATACCTTTCTGCATAAGTACGCTGTTATCACCCTCTAAATTAAAAGTAAAATTAAACAAGTTTCTTTCTCAAATTATAAAATTTTAACATAAAGGAAAAAAAAATAGCAACCAGCCGTCATCCCAGCGTGACTGAATCCAATAAAACTTCCAAATCTGTTAACACTTAAATATCCTTGACCACCACATCGTTCTCTACAAATAGAAGCAACGCGTTCATAGTGCCAGGTTACTAAAGGTTTTATTACGCAACATAATCTTACAACTTCTGGCACGTCTCTATCCGTCTGTAAAATGATAAAATAAAATTTTATATAAATTCCATAAGGTTCATAAAGTTCGTAAAAATAAGCCCAATTCATTAATTTACCTGTTCTAACCACCTAACTTTACAATGATTCAAACCGATATTTAATGCAATAGTCGTAGCCAATAATGGTAGCAACGCACGTTGTTGAAGCTGGTAATCTAAAATTGGCGTATCGCTATTACAGAAAATTTTTTAATATAAAAATTTATTCATATGATGCAAACTTTAAACAAAATTGGCACCTCTTTCCATTTGGTCCAACGGCTAACCGAGTGCTTGCATAACTGAATGCAATGGATATACAAGCTATAATTTGATTAGACATTATACAATGTAAATAAATGACAGTACAAAGTACATGTATCTTGATTGCACACACTTTTAGTTCCTCCCAAGTTTAATGACGCGATAGCCAATCTACCAGAAAGTAGCTGATCGGCTACTTTTAAAAATCGACTAAATAGCAACATCGCTTATTACAAATAAGATCATATAAATATGTATATATAATTAAAAGATTACATACTCCCGACGATTTTTGACGACACTTGAAAAATTGTTATTTTCGTCAATATCAGAAAATCGATTCAAAAGATTCTGTACTGGAACTCGTACCTATATTATATAAGACGAAATAGTGTTCAATCCCCCGAAAGAAACACGCAAAGTGACGTAAGACAACTTACATTCTTGAACCATAATTTGCCTATATTGACATAATATACATTAATTAAATATAATATAATGTAATTTAGTAATATAATGCATCACATACCATTATCTACCCCATTACATTCAAATTTGACACCCATATCTTCAATAACGACCCCTTTTGAAGGTTTCATACTATAAACAAATAATGAGTTAATTGGAATTATGGTAATACAAATAGTATACTTGAAAAAACTTACTCCTCTTCACGAATTCTGACAAGGATTGCATGTATTCCTTCATTCTTACCACGAATTATAGTTTGAGCAAAAACAACAGACCATTTTGCATGAACAGCAGACTAGTTTTGTTCAAGGGATATTAAATAATTAAATATTTATAAACCAAATTTTTATAGCTTTAATTATAAATATTACGTTCGTGATCCAATATTTTTGAGCCAATGGTGTTGGAGTATTAATGATGAATTCTCTTTTATTATCATCATATATAGCAATAGTTTCCATTTCTACCGCATTATTACCATAACCTAGTTCAGTTAATGCAAAACATCCTATATCATGCAGGTTATCCACACCAGGAAGAAGATTTCGGTGACGTTCAGTTCCAAGTTTAATAACTGATCCACCAAAAAGGTTCCATTGAACTGTCATCTGAATTTTATATAGTATTTTAATTAGGATGATTAAGATTAAATTTTTTTAAAAAAATACCTTTGTACCCATAGATCCATCGACCATACCGGCTATCTCATGTGCTGATTAAACAATTTATTAAATTCTGTACTAAATTATCTTTAATTAATAAATTCTTAAACGAAATAAATACCAGCAAAAATATTGAGCGGGTTTTTTTCAAAGTCAAATACAGATATAAATCCTTTGTCAGCAAGTTTTTTCAAACGTTGCAAGGCAAGTTCTCGTTCAAATTCAAGTTTATTATTATATCGAGGAATGTAAATTGGATCATTAGCAATAAAATCAAGCATCGCTTTTCGGTTTGCATGATTATCGTGAGCTAAATGATGTTGTATTGCTGCAAAATCCTGAGAGGTTGCTTGTTGTTTACTCATTTTGATTTAAAGAAACTTGAAAATAAGAAAAATCAGAGATCAGTATAATCATGTGGACAATTACTTTATGCACCCCTTAATCTAATCCGTGAACTAAAATTTACGTTGGTCAATTAACAATTTCCTTACCCTAATAAACATGTATTGTATATGAAATATATGAAATTAAGCGATTATTATTAATAATAATATAAATGAAACTTTTTAAATACTTTCAAATATACAGAATACAAGCAAAATAAAAAAGTAAAAAACACAAATTTCTTATTAACAAATTTTTTTCCTAGTATCCCTGTATATTCTGTGATAAAACAACTTGATTTTTTTACAGTATATTATTATATATTTAAATTTTAATTAAAAATTTAGATTATTTGCGAATAGTTATATTATTATTATATAATTCAACTTACTAATGAAAAATACTACTAATTTTAAATAGTAGACTAGTAGTAAACCTGTATTAACATTTACATAATATTTTAATATATGCAATACAAATATAATATATAAAAGATAAAAAAATTAAAAATACTTTTTAAATTTAATTTATTATTATAATAGTATTATAATATATTTTTAAAACTTAATTCGCAATCCGTCTAAAAAGTAGAGAATTTAATTAATAAAATTCGGGAAAAGTATAAAATTATAAAACAGATCTTTACATGAGTTTTCTTACCAAAAGTTGGTTTAACACCAAATTTCTACATTAGTATAGAGTAAATTTTACTTTTTTGAACTTTTTATATCATTTAATGATGCATACACGTTAGAAGTAGTGTTTCGATCCGTTTCCGGATAAATTTTTTTTTTAGGTATCCGGATAATTACGGTTTTTACCCGGATAAATATCCGGATAAAAAACAAAATTTTTTTTTTAAAAAATTTAAATCACTTATTAATTTTCATAACATTTCATATATTTTTAAATAAATAAGTTAAATACTATGTATGATTCAATAATTCAATTTGGTAAATTCATATTTTATAAAGGCTAGATTTTACTTTAAAGATATAATAATATATTTTTTATTATTTTTAATTATTCATTAACTACAAGAAAAAAATTTTAAATTATATCACAAGATTTGTCATATAATTTGAATATAAAATATTAAATTCGTGGCATTTATTATTAAATTTATATAGTTCAGCATTTATTTATATAATAAAGTAAATATTATGCAGTATTTATTTATTTTGGTTAAGGCTTAAGACTAGATTAACTGTAATTTAAAATTAATAAATAAAAAGATAAATGTTATAAATTGATTAATAAATTTTTACAAGAATCCCATGAAATTTAATTGTCATATATTTAATAAATGCCACAAATTTAGTTCAATAAAGCCACAAGTTAAAGGCACAAATTTAATTAAATAAATCATGAATTTAATCGAATAAAAGCCACATACTTAAGTAAAAAACACTAATTTAATTAAATAATACCACATATTGAATTAAATAATTGCAATGAATTTAATTAAATAAATGTTACATATTAAATTAATCAAATTCCATATATTAAATTAAATGAATGCCACAAATTTTATTTATTAAAAATGATTTACAGTAAAAAAAAATTTGATAATTTTATCCAGGTTTCAGTTTCTATCCAGATATATCCAGATTTTTATCTGAGTCGAATAATCCAGATAGAAACTGGATATTTTTTTAATTTATCTGGATGACAGTTTCTGCCCATATCAAACAGAAATTGCAATTGTTATACAGGAATCTGTGAATGTCATACAAAAACTTTATCACATATAAAACATTTTTTTATTTCTTTAAAAAAGGTACCAAACTTTAAGTAAATATAACCAACTAATGTATTTATATATATTTAGCTTTAAATTTGAATTATATTTAAGAAATACATACTTGTCTATAAAGAAAAAAAAGGACCCCGGATATCTCCAAAACAGGTCATAAGTCACACTTTCGGCAGATTGGCCCATTTTTCAGGGGCTCAAAAAATCGTTTTTTGTAAATATCTTGGCATCCAGTAGTCCAATTTTGATGAACTATTTTTTAAATTGTAGAGCTAAATGAGGGCTACAAAATAAAAAAAAGTTCATTAAAATTGAATTACTGGATGCTGAGATATTTACAAAAAACGATTTTTTGAGTTTTAGCAAAAAGGGGTGTTTTTGGCCAAAAGTCCATTATGACCTTTATATTAGATATCCGGGGTCCTATCTGAATACCACATATAATCTAAATATCATATATAATCTGAATAACACATATAATCTAGTAAATATTACATATAATCTGAATACTACAGTCAACTCTTATTATAACGAACTTTAGGGTCCAGATCTTAACTTCGCTATAAGGTTATAGTGAAGATTTTAAGAGATTTGATTGGTTAATTCGTTATAGTGAAGGGAAATTTATTATAGTTGTCTGAAAAATTCACTATATCAAAGGCAAGGTTTAACTGTACATATAATCTAAATAATGTGATCTAATTACCACATATAATCTAAATATTGTTATTTAAATACCATATATAATTTAACACTTTTTATTATTTTCTTATATCTCTTTTTTTATTCTAGTTATGTCTATAAGTTCTTTTTTAATATTCATATTTTTTTTATGCTAATATATTTTTATTATCACATTATTATCTAATTACCATATATACATATAATCTAAATACTACACTTTTTTTCTTATTTCTAAGTCATTTACATACTAGATGTAATTTTGAATCACCTTTCCTGTTTTCTTGGTTAGTTCTTTATCAATACATTTCTGGTAAAATGTAAAAGAATCTTAGGATATGCAAAGCTCAGATACAATATAACACAAATATTTTTTGGCAAACCTTTTCATTGTCAAGAATAGAAGCAGGTGTTGACTTAAAATAATCTTTAATAGTCTGCTTATATCCATTATCTTTGTAGTTTTTATAATATTAACCAACTTGAAATCATCACTATAAATTTTAAGGATCACACTAAAGACGGCATACCATTTTGAAATAGCTATTTTCTTTAACGTGCAATTGAACCTTTTAAAAAATGCTATTGGCATTAAATTTGCAATATTAATAAAAAAAATCACATTCTTGTAAGAAAATTTGGGCCATCATTGAGTCTATTAAGTCTGAAGTTGGGTAAAAGTGAACATGTTCTATATGTTCTATATATGATAATATGAGCACTCTTGGTAATATGACTCGTAACTCAGTTTTTGCCTATGTGATAATTAGGTGTGATAATATGATTTTAACTCAATAGGTCACAAATTTAAGAAAATGGTTTCTTTTTTTATTCAACGTGTTGATAACTCCTGTGAGATGTGTTCTGGTGCAGATTGGCAAAACTGCGATTATTCTTCATCAAAAGGTCTATTTATAACCAGATCTTTTTATAGAAGACAATATAACTACTGAACGTTTAGAGGAACTGCGATTATCTCACAGCTCTCAGAGTTATGGCTCACACTTGGTTGTCAAGAATTATATTGTGAGTGCATTCCATTATTTTATAGCAAGTTCTTTTTAGTTTTTCGTAAGCATTTGATTTTTTAAGCAAATCATAATTCACAAACCACTTGCTAATTGTATTTTGTTTTGTTCTTTTCAAGAAAAATTACTTTACCTTATATGGCAGGACATGGACAAGGTTGGTCAAAAACTGCAGTTATTTTTAAAGAGGGTACCTGTTGTGACTTGTTATATAGAAAATGGTTCACTGACCGATCATTCTGAAAAACTGCAATTACCTCTTCAGCTCTTTTGAGAGTTGTTAGTTCATGATCAGTTGACAAGAATATGTATTACGTGCTCAATTGCTCTTATTTAGCATGTGCTTATGGGAGAAATTGTATTTATTGATTGCATGCTTAGTTTTTAGCAAAGTAGAAAATTAATATAATAGCAGTTAAATATATGACAAGATTTTAAGAAAAGGAGACCAAGTCATTTAATGTGAATCTTAGCGTCAAAGTTATTTCTTTACTCTTTCACTATATTTACAAAATTTTGATTTATAGAACAGAGATACTGTATTCTGTTTTTCCTGAAGGTATATACCTTTTTTATTATTTTAATGCATATCACACATCCACATAAGTTTAAAAAACATGTGTAAAAGTAAATGAATTTTTTATTATACTAAAAAATTTCAGAATACGAATACAAGTGTTAAGGTGTTCTGAAGCCAGATCTTCTCCAGTATCACCGTCACTTTTCTACCCCACATGATTTTATGTTACATTAGCTTCATTGATTTATTTACGTTTAACAACAGTTGATTTTGTAACTTTCGTAATTCTTTCTTATTTTTTCTCTTTTTTTCTTTAATGTCAGACAAAAAGTTTATATTTAATTCGTGATCTGCCAGTGAACCATAAAACTTGGCTATTAAATTCCAGCAAAAGTTATAGTATATATATTTACTAATAGCGCGAAATCTACAGTTCCGCCAATGCAAGGTACAAATTACTAAAATATTATATGAAAACTAATATTATAGGCATAAAAATATGCCATTTGGCTATCTTAATAATAAAAGACCGGTAAAAATTTTAAGCACCAAAAGACACTTTCATAAGAGCTGAAAATTTGAATTTGAAAAAAAGAAAAATTTAGTATTTTAAAATTTTAAAGATAACTCATCATCTAGTGGTCATAGGAAAATAAAATTTGGTTTATCAGATTCGTCTTATTGAGACGCATCTAATAGTAATGATTTTATGTCTCTATGACTAATAGAAGGCGAGTTATCCCATATTTTTTCTCTGGAATCGCAGATTCTAAATTATTGATAAAAATATATATGAATTTATCACCGCCTTTTAATAGTCAAATTTTATGGTTCACTGGCGGATCACGAATTAAATAATTATTTAAGTATAAAATTTATTGTTAGTTTATTTTTAACTATTATATTAGCTGTTTTTATTTTTTTTGTTTATTTTTTTTATATAAAGATTAAGGCGTAATTTTGGTACTTTAGTCATTCTTTGAAGGCTAAATAAAGTTGCTTAAATAATTATTTTTATTGAATTATTTTACCTATTTGTGGAGTTATAATTATACTTTGTAACAATATTAAGTGCATTATACATTTTTTAAATCTTTTTAGGCAACGCCGCAATGTGTGTTTATATATTTATTTAGATTATATATTTATCATATTTGTTTTAT